ACATCCAACTACAGCACAGTACCTGTTCCTGCTCCTAGTGATCCTCTCACATCCAACTACAGCACAGTACCTGTTCCCTGCTCCGAGTGATCCTCTCCGACAGCAAATCCGAGTTGTTTCTTTCTTCTTCCAGTTCCATCTCCAGTTGAGACACCTTGTCCTAAGAAAGAAGTCACACACACAGCCTACTTAACTTCCACTGACCGGTGAGGAGCATGGTCTGCCCTGTGGAAGGAAGACCCCAGGGGCAAATCAGAGCTGAGTATCATTAGGGTTTGGGGAAAGGATGTGTCTATTTCTCATACTGCCCAAAGGAGATATTTTTAAAACTGCAGTTTTTTTCTTTTACAATGTAAATATAATTGTCCATTCAGAAAATACATAAAAGGAGAAAAATATTACTCCAAACCCTAACTTAAGCACTAAGGATACTTTAGCATGTTTCCTTCAAGTCTTTTTTCCCCTATGAATCAATAACTTTACAAAGATCCACCTAAACCTAACAGGTATCCAAGTCATCTGTTAAAAGACAAGGCAGGAGCTGAGATACCGTCCAAGGTATATTTACTCCAAGCTTGAGACAAGCTAAGTACTCCAAGCTTGAGACAATGTTTTACCTTCCTCCTCTCAGAGTTTCAAAGAGCCTTGCAGGAGTCAAGTCTACTGCAGCCTTTTGCACCTGCCACTTTCCTCTAGGGAACCTCATACAGTTAGCAGTGTGCAGTCCCAAATCTGTGTTGGAATAACATAAAGACAGTGCTGGCCCATTTTGCTACACCAATCATCACAGAAGAATAGCAATTTCTATCTTCCTTGCTGGCTCCTAATTTAACATCATTGCGTGTTAAGAAAAGCCTTTTGAAGTAGCTTTGTGTAAAAAAAAAAAAAAGAGGCTTCTAACACTAACCACTCCAGTTAGAACTGGGCGTTGTGGGGTGTGTGCATGTGTTTCTCATGTCACCAGCCAATGTGTCATATGTCTGAGTTAACTCAGAGCCACACACACTAAAAAGCAATCAGCATTGTGAGTTTTTAAACACGAGTCTGCAGCATGTATACATAATTATTGTCTCTGCAATTGTCAAAGTTGGCTGACAAGCTCTGGACACCTCTGTAAGTGCCAAAAATAAAACTCACAGAACTCAAGGGAATGACTAAATGTCTGTGAATGCCTCCCCTCTTAGTGATGGAAATCTACAGGGAACCCAGAAGGCTCTCTCCCAGGAGCCGAGAGTCGCAAAGACCAACTCAGAACAGAGAGTTGGGTCCTACACTGAACTTCCTATGTGTTTATGGTTCCTGATTCCTCAAGGCCAGGTTTGCTCTAGTTAGAAATCACCAAGGACCCACAAATGCTGCATTTATATAAAACAGTGACCTGAGTTTCTGAGTTTATAGAAAATGCCCATTTTTGAGAGAGCTCTTGAGTCCTAAGAAATAATTTGTTAAATGCTAGTGAGGGAACAAGCAAGATATTAGTCACAGCAAGACGGCCCTGCCTGCCGCCTCTTAGGGGAGGAAACCCCACTCCAGTGTGCTTCACAGTGGTGGGGCCTTGAGAGCTATTCATTCTGTAATTAATGGAGAAATACCTAAAATATTGCACAGGGGCAAATGAAGCTTAGCTATGCCACTGCCTCTAGACCATGAGTTAGTGAAAGGAAATGTTCTTTTTAGTCAGAATATTCTAGAAGGAGATCACCTGACAACCCAATCTTTAGGTGAAAGTACCCCTTCACAGGGCTTTCTTCCTGCCTAAAATCAGTATTGCACAGAACCAAGCAGGAACGTTCAAGGGGCCAGGCCAGGGGTCACTGCACTAGAGGTTCTTGGTCACTACCTGAAGACACTTCAGCCTGTGTTTAAGCAGACAGTTTGGGCCCTAGAATAATTAGTTTCTAGTTAACTGGGTTGACCTTAGCTTGCCTTAAAATGATGTCCCCTAACGAGATGAGAACCAGGACATCAGCAACATATACAGCAATCCTACAAAAGAATAATAAAACCATAACTAGGTTATTTTGGCCTCTAAAAAGAGCCCATCTAATAAACTCCTTAATAGTTAAAACATCAGTCCCTAGATATAAATTGCTACTAAGTCCCCTGGAGGTTTTACAAGTTATTTCTATTTATTTGCAAAGTTGAATGAGGAATTCCATTGATTTTAAATTCAAGCTCTCTCTCCCTGGCCTTGAGCACTGTCTGTCTTTTATCAAAACCTTGACAATTTTAACTTCTTCCATAGGTCTGAGGCTTATTTTTAGGTGTCTCTCTCCCTCTAAAATTCCACTGAGGTGTGTGTGTGGGGTTGGGGGCAGTTCTGGTTTGTGGTTGGTTTTGTTCTTGAGGATTATTCTTTTTTATAAATTCAGGTGGGCTGCTGTTAAGGGTCTTCCTGTCATTCTCACTGCCACTCATATTTAGATTCTAAAACTTGATTCACATTTTTCTCATGTGTTGCGTTTTCATCTTGTGGCCAGATCACCCTTGGCTGGTGACTCCACTGAGCACTTTCTGAGAGACTGCATTGGACCATGTATAGACTGTATATCCAAAAACGAATTGAGCCACAGTTTGCGGCTAGCTTTGGCAAAGCTGGATCACCTGTAACAGAATATGTGCCAGAATCAGGAAATAAGAATAGAGCACGTGGAGTGGCAAATGGGCGCCAGGGGTTCCTAGGAGGTGGGCAGTTTGGGTCCAAGGCAGAGCTCAGCCCCTCTCTAGATTCGCAGCAGTCTTGTCTCCTTGGTAGTTGGAAGCACCGTCCAAAGCATCAAAGAGAAAATGAACTATCTATGTGCCCTTATGTAAAAGCACCTAACCTCTTTGCGACTCTGTCTTCCTTCCTCTTTAAGACGATGAGGACATCAGCCTAATTATTTCCATCATTCCTTCCAGCTCTGACATCCTATGAGTCTACGAACTACCAGCTTCTTCCTCAAATCAAGAAATGACTTTACTAATGTCTGGCTGTTTGAGAGAGTAAAACCCCAGGACTTCCCAAAGGCTGAGGTGTGAGCAGAGGCTGCTTCCCTGGTGTCCCACGCTCGCTCTCCACAGGCCCCGGCCCTCGCCCGTGCGGCCCACAGACCTCCATCTGCTTGAGGAGCCGGCTTCGGTCATCTTTGAGGTGACTCTTGGCCTCCAGCTCGTACTCCAGGTCCTTCAGCGTCTGCTCCAGAAGCTGCCTTTTCGTGAGCGCTTCATCCTGAGCCCTCTGGTAGTCCTTTAACTCCTCCTCCATCAGGCGCATCTAGAAGGAGGAGGAGCTGAGGTGGTCAGCCGGGGTTCATGAAGAGCACAGAGACTTGACAGATGGTGCGCAGGCTGACCCCGAGGTGACCACTGACCACCACACTGGAGATAGAAGACTTTGAACAACTGCCACCTCCCTTTGGGCCTCATTTTCCTCTTCTCTAAAAAGAGGGAATTTTCCAGCTACAGGTAGCAGCCTATCGGGTTATAAATTCAATTTAGTAGATGTTGGCCAGCATTTTAAAATTAAATATAACAGAAAAAATATCAGAGTAGAGTACAAGCAAACACCGTTTTATGGAACTTTTGTACTAGATATTCACGTATTTGTAGGGATGTATGTATTACTGGGTTGCAATGCAAGATGCATTTCTCACTACAGGTCATGGGTCAAAAACACTTGAAAACCAGGGGCTGGCCCGGTGGCACAGCCATTAAGTGCACGTGCTCCACTTCAGCAGCCCGGGGTTCGCAGGTTTGGATCCTGGCCACATGCTGACGCACCGCTTGTCAACCCATACTGTGGCAGCATCCTTTATAAAGTGGAGGAAGATGGGCATGGATATTAGCCCAGGGCCAATCTTCCTCAGCAAAAAAAAAAAAAAAAAAGAGGAAGATTGGCATAGGATGTTAGCTCAGGGCTGACCTTCCTCAGAAAAAAAAAACACTTGAAAGCCACTGTACTAGATAAGTGCATCCCAGAGTGTAATTGACTGCCCACCTGTATCAGCATCGCCTCAACAGAGGTTTTTAAAGTTAGGGAAAAATAAAAACTAAATTAATGACCCCCAAAGCAACCTGCAAGCACAAAATCTAATAATATAAACATACACATTTGGTGAAAACCACTGCTCTCTAGAAGAAAATTCTGTGTCAGCTGTCATGATTTACAGGGTATTTTTTCATCCACAAGGTGGCACTGAACTAATAGCTTTGAAGAGAGTGCAACAAAGAGCTTGATTCACAAGGGATTGTCTGTTTTCCACTTCTCTGCAGTCTCCGCGAGGGGACCAGCCACCTCAGCACACAGTAGGTATTCCTGCAACACCTGTGTGGACCAATTCAGTGAAGTCCAACTTCCTTCCCTCCTGGAGACAGTAGAGGGCACTGGATGAGAGCACAGTCTTAGGAATAGAAAACACCAGGGGTCTATTTCCTTCAGGGACTACATGGTAGTGAGCAGCAAACTCCATGAAACAATACCATCCTCTGAGGCTGATTTTCACAGAAAAGTTGGGGAAGCCCTAAAGATAGTCTTTCTTTGGGGCCCAATAATAGGTTAGGCTAGTTTAGGAAGACCGGGGGAAAACTTCAAAAAATGTGTTCCTCTCTTGGAGGCTGACAGCAATACCTGACATTTCTATGAGGACAGCAGAGCCTTGACGAAGACATCTCCAGATAAAGACCCCCGTCTGGCTTTGGCGGTAACAGTGAAAGCACAACTGTGAAATGACACTGAGATTGAAAGCACAAAGTGACAATCATCCAGGGAAATGGATGATGGGACACTCTTTGGATACCAAGAGTGTACTATATATACTCCACAGCATTAAAAATCTCTCCAAAAGAAAGTCTTAATTAAAAAAAAATCTCTCTATGCCTCAGTCTCCTAATTTGCAATACCGGGATAATTATAAAACCTACTTTATAGAGCTGTTATGAGAATCGAATGAGATGATAACCAAAAAGAACATGGGCTTGAAAGTGAGAAAGACGGACGAGTAAACATACAGCCCGCATTCCTTCTTGGTTTCCTTCCGCGGGCCCAGAGCATCCTTCATCCCACTGCCCAGCACATCCCTACCTTCTAACACCCAGTATGTCCCTCAAACATCTAGCGAGGGCTCTGTCATACTAAGAGTATTGGGTAAGATAAGCACAAGAGTAACTAGTATTAGTGTCTGGGATCACAAGTAAGCAAATAACTTGTGAACCTACTAGTGCTACCTTTATACTAATAGTTAAAAATGCCCTTTGCTAAGTGGGATTTAGAAAATCAACTGAACAACAGTGAACTCTGTCTTCATTCTCTAAAGATTCTCCTCATCAGAACTTTTCCAGCTCCACAAAAAAGGCAAAATAGGTAAAACGTCCATTTCTCTCAAAGCAAACCAGGCAAGGACTACAGCACTTAGGATGGACCCCTGCAGCTTTTTTACCGAGAATTTAACTCGTCTCAACCAAACAGGGTGGGGGGCAGTGAGCAGAGTTGAGGTTGACTTTTTAAGGATCCCGAGCGACCGTGGCTTGTGAATTCACTCTTGTTTTAAACAACTCCATGACTGCAGCAGCTTGATTCAGGGTGGTACCTGACTGTAGGGTTCCTTTTAGAATGATGAGATGTCCATTTCTGCCCTTCGGATGGACACAGTGTCTCACAGAGCTAGGCTACCAAGAAAATCTAGGAAGGGCCATCTTTTTCATCGTAAGAAATCCTTTTTCGAATTACTGCCCTTTTGTAAACAACACTGGTCTCCATCTGCCCTTAACTAACCTCTCTGGATCTCAGTTTCTTTATCTAACTAAAGGATCTCAAGGCTCCTTTCCCATCCGAAGATTCTAGCAGAATAACCATTATGCAAAAAGTAACGGAAAGCACTTTGCAGGGGTCACTGTGACACTGTGATTCCTGAAATCAAAACAGCAGACCACGTGTTTGTTGGTATTCTGGCAAATATCTGAATCCCCCCACCCACTTGCTGCAGAAATCAAAATGCTTTTTTTAAATTTATTTATTGCCACAGAGAACTGTGATATCAATAGACTAATTTCAGTTCTGACTTGGAGTCCTGTATCATATGACCCTGAACCAGAGGGGATCTGTTATCAGGGTCCTTTCAGAAGTGCTCTAGAAGTCTGTAATAAATATCCATTGTTCTTTTACACAGTTTCAGCACTGACTCATGGGCGACTTTTCTTTGATCATCAAAGATATAAAAGTTTGTTTTTTAAAGAGAAGCTTGTTTTTCTGTGGAATCTTAGTGTTCTTGGCACTGCTTATGAAAAAAAGTAAGCCATAGAATTAAAAAAATCTAATGTTAGTGTCCAGGATATACAGACCCTCTGCTATATAGTCTCACATGTTATCTCATTTAATTATTAAATCATTATTATTTTATATATTTTTAAAGAGGTAGAAACAGATGCTCAGAAAATCAGGGTAACTTGTTCAAGGTCATCCAGCTGGCAAGAGGCATAACCAGAAATCAGTATACACTGTACTTGCATTTTACAGCCTTCAGCTTTCCATTAAAATAATCAAAACCATTCCCTTTATTTTTCTCAGTTCTTTAGAAGTCAAAACTGAAGGGAGTTAACATTTGGTTACTTTGTTCTATTATTCTTAAATATAAAACCAAGAGTATGTTTTAATAATTTCAGTACTCATAAATTCCTGAGGATTTTTTTTTTGTCTCCATTATTGTTGTTCTGAAACTCTTGTCTGACACTCCCACTCCAATAAAAGTCTATATTTTCAAAATGAATGGCAAAAAACAACTGTTTTTTTAGTCTCTGTTCTAGGATTAAATTTAAACATTAATACATATAAATCATTTGAACACAGCTGGGCACATCATTGGTGCTCCATAAAAGGCAGCTAAACTTTTTAGGCAGAGAATTTTGGATTAATCAAGAAAATCGTCAAGTTAAACTTGTGTCAGTTTCATCTCAGAGTCCCTGGGTCCTTTGTGTCTTAGAATGCCATTTGCCCCAGATAACCATCCTCAGGGTTAAGACTGAAGATTCAAGCACAAACACTGTCTTAAGAATCTTCTTAAGAAGTCCCTCAGAGAAGAGTTTCAGAGCAGTCTGGAGGGATGCTTTGAATAAGGGGTAAACCAGGAACTGATCTGGCCAGGCATTACCTCATCCTGCATTTTCATGGCAGTCAGACGTGACTTTTCTGCCTCTAGAGTTTTCTCCTTCAACTGCCTTTGCATTTCTGCAAGCTCCCTGCGATTTTTCTCCTTGTACTCATCCAGCTGGTTCTGGAGCTCCAGTGTTGACGTGCGGGACACCTCGACAATGTCAGCCATCTGGAAGAAGTGACATGGGGGTGAGCCCACCCTGTGATGCTCCATCTGGGGCCAGGGAGCTAGCTTTGGGTCCCATATAACACAGAACGTGTCTCCTCTTCTTTCTTCTACAGCCTCTCCAAAGACTCAGCAAAGCACCTGGTCCTGGGCTGTCTGGGGTTAGTCATCTCTAACTTGGAAGTGGCACGGAGGAGTGAACAAGCACATCCTTTGGTGCTAGATACGTAGTCTGAGGTCACATAATTGCTCTGCCGTGTACCAGCTATATGAACGGGGCATGTACTTAACCTCTCTGGGCCTCGATGGTATCCTTGGTGGAAATACTGAAATCATAATATCTACCCTGAAAACAATACATAGATATAGATAGAATTCTAGGTAGATATAAAGTAGCTAGTAAAGTGACTGGCACATAGCAGGTGTCAGAAAATGGCAGGCACTCGTGTCAGCTCCTAGAATGCAGGGAGCCCATCAGTTTAGTGCCTTCCCCCTTCTGGGTATTTTAGGGCAGAGATGAGTAGATGAGCAGTAACTACTAGGCTTTGAAACTGCCTTTCTCACTCCTGGACAAGGAAGATAGGTGCAAATGCATAGATTATGCACAAACGCAGAGATTCTAATTCAGGTAACATTTATTAAGTCTGCACTTACATGCCAGACTTCTCTGGGTAATGTTGAGAGTAGCTGGGCCCAGAATCCAGAGGGTACTGGCATTTACTTTCTCTAGACCAGTTTCTCTGTGTCTGGGATTTTCAATAAGTCCAAGGAGCTGGTTCAGGGGATCTGCAAATCCCTGACACATTTGTGCTTGGACATAACTGCAGGTTCCCTTAGCTCGCATCAGGTCCTCAGAGGGAGCTGGGTCCCAACCCTAAGGGTTCTATCCTACACCCTCTCCCTCCGACTCCTCCTTCTCCCTCCTCCTGCATCCTCACCTCCTTCTGGAGTTTCTCAATGGTCTTGTCAAGGTGCCATCGCTCATTCTCCATTTCATTCTTCAGTCTCCTTAACTGTTCCTTCTGCTCAGTCTCATCTTTTAGCTTCTCAGACAACTGCTTCTGCTCCTGGGTGGCCCGACTCAGATTTCTCTGCAGATGGCAGGGAAAGGACAGTGCTGTCATCTACCTACCAGGTCAGCCACAGGAACAGGTGGTGGAGGGAATTTCGCAGCCACACCACAAAGCAATCAGACCTGTTATATCAGTAATAAGGAAAAAGAGCAAAATAAAGCCATCACAGGGACACAAGGACATTGTTGGTTCTGAATTTCAGGGACAAAAGTGCAAAACTGACTTAACCAAACACATACACAAGAATGAAGGGGCAGATAAAGGATACTACAGAAATACAGAAAATGGCCAAAGCTGCTGGAGGTGGCAATTCGGGATAGTGTCCAAAAACCTGAGTGTTCATGCTTGAAAACTGAGGTTAAAATATACATTAGACCAACCTAAACCTATGTGGCGATTTACATCCTGTGATATACAGCATTGCACCTAATATTCTAGAATTTGCTCTGCAATGCAGATGAGTCTTACAGTTAGAATAGCTAAAAATGAATCTGTAAGGAAAGAGAACATTGTCCCACAGGCCCAAAGTCCACTTGGGCAGAGGGAGTTGTAATCAACAGAATCCATGGGCTTCACTCATACATAGAAAAAACAGAATCTGGCAATCCACAGGCTGATGAATTTGATGAGTAGAAGGTGTTAAATGGAAGAGACATTAGTCAGAAAAAGTGCATATGAGAGGTTGTTTAGTGAATCAGCACCAAACACTAGTACTTACTATAAAATGTAACCAACTTGGATGCAATACTTTCCCTGGGTTCCCCTGAAGCTCTCATCTCACAACATCACATAGACAGACATCCTTTATGTAAACAATATGCAATTCTAAAACAAAGTCTTAAAATATCTTAGCAAGGTTATGGTGGATTCGTTAAATGGTTAAGTGTTAGGGCCACTGGCATGAGGCTATCAGGAAGGGGCACAGCTCGGAATAGGGGAGCATAATCCAGACACAGGCTGGATCATCTAGAAAATGTTACTTACTAGGTGCTAAGGGCTGAACACGGGTTAGTACAGGTACTGCTTAGAGCCTACCGGTCTCACGTCCCTGCAGAGGCCACATGAGACCAAGGGTATATATTTGTACAGTGCTTAATACTTTACAAGCTGCTGTCACATGCGGTAACCCGGGCATCCTGAAAACACTCACAAATGACTTCGGGCACTCCTTGTTTGCATGGAACTGCTCTGCTCGGCCAACAACGTGACCTGGGGCCAAAAGCCACCATGGAGGCCTTCCAGGCCCCTCCATTTGGAACCAGCCAACACAGCCGGGCTGCTGAAGTTAACCGCTGCAGAGAACCAAGGTCAGCAAAAGCAATGGGGACAAGAAGGTGGCGAAAGGAAGGCAATCAGAAATTCAGCATGAGGGCAATTAGCAGGCGTGCGTCCCACCACAGCCCAGCTGGGCACACACCAGAGACAGGGTCATCCCCTGGGATTTGTGTTTGTGGTTGATTTAGTGGTGCTGGGGGCCAAGAGGAGCACACAGCGTAATGTCAGCAAGGTATGGTTCCACCGTGTGGGAGAAAACTCTCAGGCACATGTATCTCAAAAACGTAAATTCCTCAAAAAACAGCAATATAGATACAGAGGGCCACCAACGGATCCTTCAGCATCTAACTCAACTCCTGCCCCTACAGGTCTCCCCAGCCTCTCTTTTTCCTCCTTCTGGATCGCAGTCCCAGGCCAGCTTGGCTCCATTCAACTTCCATATGGTGTGTGCATTTCTGCTTCACCCTTGGCTCCGGCAGGGGTCTCCGCCCGGCCTCCTCTTCTGTGCCCCTGGAGACACCACAGACTCACTCAATCTGGGCCTGGTGAACACCTCCTTCCCCCTCAACACACACACATTTGCCTAGAAGAATAGTTTTGCTAAATTATTTTTAAAATATTTCTTGAATGCTTGCCTCTCTTGCAGGGTAGTCAGATCCGTAAAGGCAAAGGATAGATTTTCTATCTGGGTATGTCTCATAGCCCAGACTCACTATTAGGCAGATGATGAAAACTCAGTGGTTGAAAATGAATTACCTATCCCCAAAAGAGGTCTAAAGACTTCTTATATCAGAATCACCAAGCAAGGATGGAGTACTCCTATTTAAAACACAGATTTCTAGCCGTTTCTGATAGAATCACAATTTTTTTAGAGTGGGACCCACAAATTTGCATTTGAAAGTTACCCAGATAATTCTAATATACTCCAAAGTTTAGAAACACTGTTTAGAAGAATGCTCTGCCTCTTCAGTTATTCAAGAAATACATTCCAATAAGTCATTGCTGAGAAAACATGGCCCAAATTCACATGAAAAGAAGCAAACTTGGCAACTTCACATTTAGGAGTAGGGGTGAAATGCTCTGTAGCTACAGTGACTGTATTTCCAAGACCAGCAATACAAGCCCACTGATTAATAATGGGACAAAAATTGGGGGAAAATTTATCAGGTCAGAGATTCCAAAACACAGAGTTGGTGGATGTACAGTAAGTTCCCTTGAGTTTGGGGACCATTACCTGTCAATGGATGTAGAGCTTTTACTATATGACTGAGAAAGGCCCAATTAGTCCATATTAACAATAACCAAATGGCAAGTGAGCCTATGGGCTTAAAGGAATGAGAGGGTTGATGAGAAGGAAGCTGGTCTTCTCAGAGCCCTTGCCATACAATAACCACAGACTGCAACTGTGGAAGCATTGGGGCTTTTTTCTTCTGTTGTCTCAATACACAGAAGTCCAATGGCGGGGGTGGGGTGGGGGGAGGTGAAGGTGTACAGAATATATATACCATTATCCCTCCCTAAAGAAAAGAACTGTGGCTTCTCCAGGAAAGGTTTCTTCACTTCCCCATCTGCAGAGGCCATTTCTCAAGGGAATCACAGATGTCTAGCCTTGAATGCAGTTCAAGTAGATCTACACAGCAGCATAATCATAAACCAAGAGGCAGGGGTTGAGCAAACCGAGAATCGCATCTTTACAACCCTCTGCCACTTTCTGACCGAATCATAAGTCGTCAGACATAAGTTCACATGGTCCTCAGCTGCTATGTAAAGAAATATATTTATTGTACATGAAGATGCAACAGATGGCTAAAGGCACAAAGATTTTGAAATGCAAAATGCTTGTGTGAAAAAAATACCAGTTACTCTTTCCTCTTCCTCGAAGGGTTAAGCTCCCTCCCGGCTGCCAGCTCGGGGAAGAGAGGCATGCAGAAAGAGGTATCGGACTAAAGGAGCTGAATAACCTGGTTCCCAATTTTAGAGAAAACAAAGTATTTTAGAGTGATGGTGCACTTTTCACGGCACTACTTTTGAGACCAGATAATTCAGATAAAGACAGTGCGATTGTTGGGCCCTTTTTAAGTTCTTGTTGTATTGTGTTGCCAGTGGTTAACATGGCTGCACGCTGCACGAAGCGTTCTCACCATCTCAACACCACTGGGAAAACAGGCCTGAACAAAAGTAACACGCCAGGGATAATTTCCAAGGCAAGGCGGAGGTGGGGGTGGGTGGGGATTACAGTAAAATCTTTAGGCCTTGAGGCCATCATCTGTTCTCTCCACTGAATTAAGTATTGAGCTGCAGATTCACAGCTGGTGAACTACTTCTTTATGTGTAAAACTTTCTGGTTTGACTAAAGGACAAGACTGAGAGACTGTAATAGCTGTGTCAGCGTGGACGTCACACAAAGGTGCAGATTTTTGTCTCTATCCAGTACAATGTTTTTCCTCCCTTTCTGCCCTCAACTAGCTCACAGATTTAAACCCTTCACTATGGTGGCTGGGTTGTAACCACCCCAAGGCTGAAACAGCAGCAGAGTGAAACTCCATCCACATAAAATCAACCGAACAAGAGTTTGTAACAAAGATCTAGATTTAAAGGAAGAAAGAAATCCAAGGTGAGGACAGTCAGACACTGAACTTGGGAAAAAACCAGGGCTTTCCTGTATGCAAAAACAAGGTCCCTGTGCAAAGCGGGGAAGAAGGAAGACCACTGACTGGGGGTGAGAGCCCCCGAGTCACAGCTGACCTGAGTGAATCTTAGGACACACAGCTTCCTCCCCTCTCCTCCCCGAGGAGATGAAGCTGTACACTGAAGGGGAAGCTGCATTAGGCATTTACAAATCTGACCCCTGACTGCCGCTCAGCTCTTAACACTTCTCACGTGCCACCCCCCCACCTCCCCTCACCGGCAAGGGAGTCCTAATGGAAAACTTGAACAACCTTCCTCTTGGACAAATGCTCAAAAACACTGGCTTTTACCTCCTCAGAAACTCGCCCGAGAGAGGCTTGGTGCTGGTTCTTTAAAACCCAAGAACAGGTAGAAGGAAGGACATACCTGGATCCCGCTCAGGTCACTGTGCAAAAGTGAATTTAGAACTTCAGGGCAGGTTTGTGTTGTTTTTTAGAGTGTAATTCAAACAAATCTTTTTAACCTTCAAACAGGAAAATCTAATTTTCTAAGAATCTACTGATTTTGAATAGAGATCGCTATCTAGTTTCACGGAAACATCTTCCTCCTGCTCCTCTAATAGCCGTCTTGAAGGACTGCATCCATGGAGCACACTTGCCCAGAGGAGAGAGGAAATGGGCTTCTGCCAGACAGCCGACTCCACACCGCCTTGGGGACCAATCCTGCCAGCCTTCTCGCAGAATTCATATTTTATCTTTGGAAAGCTGTCAAGCTCTTTAATGTCTAGATCAGGACTTTTCAACCTCAGCACTATGACTTTTGGAGCCAGACAATTCATTGCTGTGGGAGCTATCCTGTGCTTTGTAGGATGTTTAGCAGCATCTCTGGCCTCTACCCACTGGATGCCAGTAGCATCTCCCCAGTTGTGACAAACAAAAATGTCGCCAGACATTGCCCAATGTCCCCCAGTTAAGAACCACTGGTCTAGATGGATAGTTTGAAGTCTAAGGTGGTTATTACTATGAAAGGAGCTACCTGGAAGGAGAGGACCAATGACAATCCATACATGTTCCTCCAATTTTGCCTCTCTGGACTTCTTTTGTGAGGGATAAAGACAACAGCTCTCAGTGTTTACCTGAGCGTCTTCTAGCTCACTTTCCAGGGTCCTTCTGGCTGACATGGCTTCTTTTTCTTCCTTTCTTGCATGCACAAGGGCTTCCTCTAATTGCCGCAGTTCCACCTACAATGAAACACAGGGTCAGCATGCACTCAGATGCATGTTGTGCCTATGCAGCCGACTCGGTGGCATGAAGGCACACAGAAGAAAGCCACAGACACATCCGGCAGCATCTGTGGTCACAACGTGCCTTTCATGGGCCCAAGATGGTACAAAGCAACCGCATTCTCGGATGTGTGTCTGTCTGCAGTTCCACACTTAGCCAGGAGAGAACATCCGAATCATCTGGGATGATTTTTTGAAAATACAAATATCCAGCCTCAGCCGTGGAGCTTTAGAAACAGCAGGTATTGTATGGACGCGGGCACAGAGAGTTATGGAAAAGGCGTCCAGGTGGTTCTGATGGATCGTTTGGGGAACTTCTGTTGGAATACATCTCTCTCCACATTTCATTTGTCCTCTCTTTCACTGCCATTTCTCACTGTCATCAGGATGTGTCTCTCGCTAACAGCCTCCCACTTTTAGAGATCTGGCAAACCAGATAATTGGTTTGTTAAATTTGTGTGACTTCAGAAACCATCACCATGTGTTAAAAAAGAATAAATAGCCATGAGTGAAAACCGGCCTGCTGGTGGTGTTCAGATGGGCTCTTCAGGCGTTTGGAGGGCTCCACTAAGTGTCAAGAGGTGGAGTGTGTGTGATGTCCGGGTGAGGGGGATTCCCATGTCTATACATGTGTCTCCCACCCTGACTTCAGGAGCCCTGCTCCAAGGCCTCTCTAGAAGCTCATCTCCCATTCACACCATGTGCAGAGGAACAAAAGAAATGGTTTGCAGAGAGGATCATTCACTATTGCCTTGACCTTTTCTACTAGTTTATGATAATAAATCCCTTCCTGCTTCTGAAACCACTCACACAGGAAAGAAGAAGAATCAGCAGCTGCCAAACCTGTGCTGGGGCCCCGTGAGCCTTACCTCGCACTTCTTGAGCGTTTCCTTTGCTTTGGCTTCGTCGCCTCTCACGTCAGTAATCTGCCTCTGGAGCAGAGCAACGCCGCACTCCAGCTCGCCGATGCTCCTCCGCAGCTTCTCGTTCTCCTCCTGCAGAGCCTTCATGCGCGTTTCAGCCTCCAGCTGGGTTTGCTCTGAAGTGCTGCTCCGACTGGCCAGGACCTCGACATTCTGTTAACAACATGCAGCAGGTGAACACGGGAACGAGTGTCAAGGGGCAATCCCCAAGCTTCGAGGATGGCTGACATGTATTAAAAACCCACTACGTGCCAGGCACCCTGCTAAGCCAGGGGTCGGCATGCTACAGCCCACAGGCCAAGTCCAGCCCACTTCCTGTTATTAAAAATAAAGCATTACTGGAGCACCACATGCCCACTCGTGTGCACACCGTGTACGGCCACTGTCATGCTACAACAGCTGAGTAAGGAGCCGTGGCCAAGACCTCAAGGCTTATGGTGTTGCAAAGCCTAAAATACTTACTATCTGGCTCTTCAGAGAAAAAGTTAGTCACCTCTTGCCTGTGTTAAGTCCCTGACATAGGATTTCAACCTTTTAACAACTCTAGGAGGTGAGTACTATTCTTATTACCATTTTAAAGACAAAGAAACTGAGACTTGGGTAGGTTGAGGAACCCATCCAAGTTCACTTAGGAGGAACTGCAATCAGGCAGACCGAATCCAGAACCTGTTTTTGTAACCACCGTGTTCCGGTGAGCAAACTTCCCTGAACTCTCACCACGTGCAGGGCCCCTTAATATAAGCTCTTGATGAACGACAGTTTCTGTTTATAGATTTTTTTAATGTCCAACACAAGACGTAAATTAAAAGTTGCTTAAATTATGATACAGTTCCTAGTGCAAGCTCTAGGCGCGATCATCTGAAAATGAGCTCGTCCTGCACATAATTCATGACAGAAGGAATGGCACCAATTACACGATGGTTTTGGTTAATTCCAGATGTCACATGGGCTTTTTACTCTTTGGCTTAACAACTTGAAGTGATAAGTGGCCTTGTCCAGAATTCCACCTCTCCTGGCAGACCTCTCACCTGCTTTCCATTTCTCCACTACGACGAAGATGCCAAAATCAGCAAATCTAATGCTCACGACACAGCGCTGCAGATGTCTGCAAGGAAAGGCAGGCCCAGGGAGAGCAGATTTGGTTTCGAAGGCTATGTCACGGCTCACTTGGGAGAGCTATCTGCCAGAATCGCTTCCTTGCCTGCATAACCTTCCAGAAAGATCTTTAAATCTTTTAACAGTACAGTAAGCTGTATTATCCTGAACTTGACCAATTAGAGAGTTTCAGAAACCAGAGCATCTTTTCACAGCCCAAATATTTAATTCTATACATCTAGGAAAGTCCATCAGAGCAAGGCTACTGAGTCAGAATGAGGTTAGCTGGCAGTGCTAGACGAAAACTACAGGGCCCAGCAGCTGGAACTTCTCGGGACTACCTAGATGCCATCTCCTACTGAAACCAGCAAGATGAAGAGAGGAGGAATAAGGCGTGGTTGAAAGCTTGTGAAAGGATATAAAGACTCCAATAACTGGTCAGAGTAGGGAAAAGAAGAAGAAAAGTCTAGATTGTCCATTCCTACCCTAACTCTCCCATTAAAAGACAAGAGATTACAAAGCTATGGTTATCAAGACAGGGCGGGACTGCAGAAGGATACACACAGAGCTCAATGGAATAGAACTGGGAGTCCAAAAATAAACCCAAGATTTACAGCCAACTGATTTTCAACAAAGGTGCCAAGAAAACTCAATAGGGAAAGAAGAGTCTTCAACAAATGGTGCTGAGACAACTGGATATCCACAGGAAAAAGAATGAAGTCAGACCCCTTCCTCACGCCACACACAAAAATTAACTCAAAATGGATCATACACCTAAATGTAAGATCTAAAAGTATAACACTCTTAAAAGAAAACATAGGAGTAAATACTTGTGACCTTGAGTTAGGCAAAGGCTTCTTAGATACAACACCACAAGCACAAGTCGCAAAAGAAAAAATAGATAAATTAGACTTCGTCAAAATTTAAAACGTTTGTGCTGAAAACGATATCATCAAGAAAGTGAAAAGACAACCCACAGAATGAGAGAAAATATTTACAAATCATATATCTGATAAAGGACTCATATCCAGAATATATAAAGAATTCTTCCACTCAATAATACCGATCGCCCAATTAAAAAATGGGCAAAGGATCTGAGGAGATATTTTTCCAAAATAGATATAAAAAGTCCAGTAAGCACATGAAAAGATGCTCAACATCATTAGTTATGAGAAAAATACAAATCAAAACCACAATGAGGTGCCACTTCACACTCACTAGGAGAGCTATAACTAAAAAGACAGATAATAGCAAGTGCTGGGCAGGATGAAGAGAAATTGAACCCTCGTACATTGCTGGTGGGAATGTAAAATGGCGCAGCCACTTTTGGAAAACAGTTTGGCAGTTCCTCAAAATGTTAAACAGATTGTCATATGACACAGCAATTCCACTCCTAAGTATATATCTAAGAGAAATAAAAAACATATGTTCACACAAAAACTTTTACACAAATGTTCATAGCAGCATTATTCATAGTAGCCAAAAAGGGGAAACAACCCAAATGTCCGTCAACAGATGAATGAGTAAATAAAATGTGGTATAGCCAAACAATGGAATATTATTTGACCCTAAAAAGGAATGAAGTACTGACACATGCTACAACGTGGATGAACCTTGAAAACATTATGCTAAGTGAAAGAAGCCAGTCACAAAAGGCCACACATCGACATTTATAAGAAATGTCCAGAATAAGCAAATCGATAGAGACAGAATGTAGATTAGTGGTTGCCTAGAGCTGAGGGGAATGGGAGGATTGGGAGATGACAGCTAAAGGGTATGGGTTTCTTTTTGGGGTGATGAAAATGTTCTAAAATTGACTGTAATGATGGTTGCACGATTCTTTGAACATACTAAAAACCAATCGATTGTGCACTTTAAATAGTTGAATTGTTTGTTATGTGAATTACATTTCAGTACAGCTAATTGAAAGACAAGGGGAGCGGAGTTGGGACGGAGGGGAGAGATGATGCATGTCCCCCATCAGTCTGAGGTCTGCTGAGTGAGGAGACTAGAGACATCTGCCTAATCTTAGAGTAAAGCAAAGAACACTCACATGTGCAGTCAGTGCTCTTTCATTCACCCAGAAATCTCAGGAAGAACAAGGATACTGAAAACCAGATCTGGTTGAACCTGGACTGGGCCTCACTGGCGCCCTAACATGCTGGATAAAGGACCTTGGCTGTGTTCTGACGTTTAGGACTTGGTATTTTGTCTGTTTGAAAGTTGTGGGGGCACATTCTGAGTCCTGAGGGATTATGTGCCGGGAGGAGGATGGACTGATAGGGCAAGTCCATCCCTCAGCTTATGGCCGCCAGGGGTCTGCCCCAACCCCAGCTTCCAGTTTCACGGGCTGAGTGTGACTCTAGAGGAGCTTATATGGGTTGAGATACTCACTCCTGTCTTGACTATTTGTAGAGAGATAATATGTTTTTCTCTATGTCTTCATAGTGTGGAGACCACATTATGTTTACAAATAAATTTAACTTAAGCCTCTGTTGGCAAACCCTTCCAGAACCCCTCCCCTGTCCCCACCCACACACACATACCCAGTCCACTATTTTATATAAAGCCCACAGGACAAATTTCCTTTTCCTGAAACCATACCTAATCCACCTGCAGCAGTCTTGCAATGCAAAAAAACAAAAATCATATCCCCCTGTTCAAGGCAGGGCCTACATGCAAGCTCTTTTCCATGACTTCCCAGCAAAGAAAAGAAAATTGGTCGAGAGGACCTCCAAAAGTCCTTCCATCTCTGCACTTTGATCTATGCATCATCTTTTCCAAACGCTTATGTTTGTGTCTCATGAATGTGGCAAAGGCAGCAGAACTCCACCAAGGCCAGAGCTGGTAAAGATCTACTCAGACAGGAGGTCACTGGGGACAAATACTGCTAACCTCACTTAAGTTGCTGGTACTAAATTTCTGTGGTTCTTTGATCTTAAGTCCTGTACATCAAAACAAGATTGGAGAGGACGTTCCATCATAAATAAAACCCAACAGTACACAGTTTTTAATGATTCATTTAGCCTATGTAATATCTATTTTTAAAAAGATTATGTGTTGGGGCTGGCCCAGTGGCACAAGCCGTTAAGTGCACGCACTCCGCTGCGGCGGCCCGGGGTTCGCCAGTTCGGATCCCGGGCGCGCACCGACGCACCACTTGGCAAGCCATGCTGTGGCAGCGTCCCATATAAAGTGGAGGAAGATGGGCACGGATGTTAGCCCAGGGCCAGTCTTCCTCAGCAAAAAGATAAAAAAAAGTGGAGGATTGGCAGATGTTAGCACAGGGCTGATCTCCTCACAAAAAAAAAAGATCATTTGATAAAATTTACTT